CAAAATGATTCATTGTTAACGTATAAGAAAGAAATTAAATATCCTATCAAGCCAATATACGCCGTTCAACATAGTCGAAAAATTCTAGCCACAGTTGGTTCACGTGCTGCAGGCTCAATAGATTAGGCTGCTTAAAACCGGCGACAGGAATTAGGCAAGATAACAGAGACAAAGAGTTTAAATTTGCCTTTTGCTACTTAATCGGTAACCCGCCACAATAATTCTAAACTGTTTTCAGATGAATTGTTATGTAGAAATTCATCACACCTGGATTCAGACAGACAGCTGTTACTTGTCCAGAAAGCACTGCACGGCCGTTTCATCCTTTCGGGAACCGTTAGCAGTTTGCGTTCCATCTGACCCTGGTAGGGCTAGAATCCACTATTCGACGGTGGACGGTTTGTGGTTGAGACTTCCTGGCTATGGGAGACGACAGTGACCGTTGTGAGTTACTAGACGTGATATAGCGCCGCTAACTTCTACTTATTTCATTCAACTCCCCCATGACTCCTTTTTAATCAATAAGCAGACCAAACTGCACATAATGCCGTAGATTTGTTGGTGGCTTAACTTCGTCAAGTTCGTCGCCTGGTGATAGGCTCCATTTCCTCTTCACGGTAGTAATATGCAAGTCAGTGGACAGTGAGCGGTGCTATAGCACATCTGGTACTTCAGTCACGGCGGTTCTCACCATCCCCCGTAGCTCAGTGGTCTTAAATACAGACTGACAGTCGAGTTTCGGATTCAAACCCCACAGGGGTCAGATGGAATGAGCACTTCTGACGATTCCCCAAAGCATGAAATGGCTGTACCTTGCTTTCCGGATGTGTAATGGCTATCTGACTGAGTATAGATGTGATAAACTTCTACCTATACCATTCAAGTCCCCCTACTTATACCTTGTAAATGATAGCTAGGTTCTCTCCGTTATGCACTAAACAATAATTATAAGCAAAACAGACCATTTTGGTAGTTGTTGCCATACCGCTGCCTGGCTGGTGCGTGCGAGGACCGTCGTGGTTAAGAAAGCATGTTGCTGACAGTAAAAGAATTACAGTCAAATTTTAACTACTTTAGAAGGGAGCATTTTGAACTGAAAGCCATGATTTGTCTACGGTAAACTTTATATCTGCTAAGAGTGCCATGCTAACATTTCGGATAACTGTGAAGCTGATAGAAGCAATGCTTCATGGGAATACTGTGGCAAGGGTGCGCCACTCAGTGGTTAGTTATAGTGCCTCAATATTTAGTGTTAATTAATTGTTTGGGGCCCTGTCTCTTTTAGGGCACAATCGATTTATCTCGCTTTATTAGCGCACTGAGGTGCATACAAACCGTAACGAATTGTTATGGTAGTTTTGACTGTGGGATATAGAAGTGCAGTCAACCCTGTCCAAAGCGACCTCCACATGGACCGAAAAAAGTTGGTCGTCTTGGACAAGTGGTCGACATGGACAGATTCATGCCTAGGCGGCACTACTCGTGATCGATTCTACATGTTTGATAAACTTGCAGCTCGCGAACTAGATCTATAAACCGAGTGATTCTACAATCAGAATTAGCTTCTAGTTAAGGCAACAATAGTAGGATGATAAGAATAATAATACCTATCTTTCTCTTGATGAGAGAAACTGTGTCTATAGCGGCACAGATCAATTTGTACAGAAGAATCCATGCTCTTGCATGGGTGACATGCATAGGTGGAGTATTGGGATATGCGTTTCATGTATTAACATTCTGACAGAAGGTCAAGGCCAAAACCTAGTTATGAAAACACTGGTGTTTATTTGTTTTTGGTCCCATCTTGGCATAGCTCATCGAGGGATTTTTCCCATATGAATATACAGCTTAGGGTAGTCAGATCAAGGTAATTGGCGAGTCTGCTAATAAATGTTGCAAAATTGTCACATGACCTGAGTGTTATTGATAGTTTATTCCACAGAAAGCTGTATCTGATCCGGAAGAAATTAGAGCGGACGTTCGTTGTAGCCTTCGGTATATTTAATATGAAATCTTTCTTGCGAAGCGCTCGAGTTGAGCAATGTTGTAAATTGAGTGTAGGGCCCTTGAAATAAGTCTTTTTGTGTAACACCTTGAAAAGCAGCAACAAGTTGTGCTTCAATCGTGGAATCCAAATTGGTTCGAGATGAAGTTCATTACAACGTTCTCGATAACCCATAGCAGTGTTTACCAATCAGATGTTTAGTAAATGACCTCTGCAGATTCTCCACAGCAATTCTGTCACTCTCATATTTCCGTATATTATGCTGCAGTATTCAAGGATAGGGCGAGTGAGTAGCTTGAAAAGCTCAACTCTAGCACTAGTTGTGTGTATTTTGTTTGATATATTGAACATAGACTGTCTGGCACGTGATACTTGGTATTGATTTAGTTCGGAGAAATTGAAGGTAGACGAGTACCTAACGCCAAGATCTGGCGTGGACAACTGTGTAGGGACGCGTTCATTGTTTAGGGTGATAGATCCTTCCGGGATGCAGCAGCCGTAACACTCGATGCTTGATTTCTTAGCCGTGTGTCTCATCACCCATGTGCATCAACATGACTCAAGAGAATGTAGATAATTTTGAATGATCAGTAATGTCTCGTGAAGCTCGTCACGCCGAAACTCATAGACTAATTTGATATCGTCAGCAAATAAAAGTGATATAGCATGTTTTACTGATATGGTGCTGTCAATGATGTAGAGCAAAAATAGTAAGGGGCCGAGCACGCTCCTTTGAATGATTCCACTGGTGATTGAGAGTGGGGAAGAGCGATTATCACCGAAAGTGACTATCTGATGACAATCACTCAGGTATGATAGCCAATCTAGTAATGGGTCCCGGATCCTAAGGTTCTCCAACTTTTGTAGCGCGCTTGTGTGGTACTCGATCAAACGCTTGGTGTACGTCAAGAAACAAAATTACTATTGCATAGCCGGCAACGAGTGATACTGAAATGTGATTAGGGTAATACAGTTGAGAGGTGGTGCACGATCGCTTATTGAGAAAACCATGCTGCGCTTTGCTGATCAGATCAATGGAATCAACAAATTCATCATTTACATGCTGACCAGCTTCCCAAATAGCCGAGCGATTATCGGAGTGTGGTGGATTGGTCAGTAGTTATCAATCGTTTGTTTGGGACCTCCTTTATGCCGAGGCATAATAAATGACGTTTTCCATTGGTCTGGAAAGTGGTCAGATTTCAGCGATAGCGTGAGCATGCTCGTCAGTAGCAATGGTATATCAGGTCCTCCTGGTTTAATGGTGGTTGGTGAAATGCCATCAGATTCTAGCTTGGAAGTTGACCTGAGTAATTTGATAACTTGATGGATAGCGTTGAGCGAGATATCGACTCTGTTTAAGAGGTTTGTTTCGGTGAGGTCTGTGCACACAGGCACCGGGTCAGCTTCGCGACTCATGGTAACGGCAAGAAAGTCGCTGAATGTTTCACAGATTTCAGCTGGGTCATGGAGTAAGTGACCCTCACCATCAACAATTTCGGTACTTAGAAGAGAGTGGTCACTGGTTCTACGCTGCAGTCTTTGACAAGCTCCCTAGCTTTGCAGTTTGTCCGTAGGGCTGTACGTTCTTCATTTTGTCGTACTGTTAACTGCGCATGTTTGACACTGATGGTAAATTCATGCATTTGTAAGACAAGTGAAAAAGCATGGGTCATTCCGTATCTTGCAGCTAACTTTTTGGTTTTCTTGCTGATTAAGTGCTCGACGGAATCTTTGGAGATATGAGAGGTATGAATACATTATGGAACAAGAAGGGCTATGGATTTGTTTATAGAACTGCTCCACAGCAGTGTACATACTAGTAGAGAGGAAAAATACATCTCAGTCGAAGTAACGAATGAAGTAGTGTAAGCATTGCAACTGGGGTTTCAGTGGCGAATTTAGTGACCATTTTAATCCGGAAGCTGAGTCGGATCATCTTATGGTCACTGACAGGAAGATTGTTTAAGATCTCGGTCTGTGGATTGGGTATTCCCAACGTGAATATTAAGTCCAGTACATTGGCGGACCTGGTTGGACTGGTAATCCATTGTGTCCAACCCCCAGATCTGATGGAAGAAAGAAATAGGGCGTTCAAGGTAAACGTTGGAGGGGATGACCAGCGTATTTTCGGTAGGTTTAAATCGCCGGCAATAATCTTCTGGCTGTGTGGCAATGCTGCGGCGAAGTCAAATGCAGAAGTTATGTCGGCGATACGTTAGGTGCATTCGGTAGGTTGTAGATACATGCGAGCTGTGTGTAAGATGAGACACCCACGACTGACGGCCAAATAGATTCAGGGATATTTTCCAATTGTGAGTGGTCTATAGGCTTAGCTGTAAATGGTTTGCATAGGTATACAATATACCCTCCACCTTTTCTGTCGTAGCGATCTTTTCGAAATAAGTGGTAGTTTGGAATCACCAGAGTAGAGTCAAGTGTATCTGAAGAATACGATGGTTCACTGACGAGGATTGCTTGTAGGTCATTGAACTGTGCAGTTGTGTTTATAAAATGAAGTTTGTTGTTTATGGATCTGGTATTAATCAAAATCACTGAAAATGTACTAAGTATTGGGGAATAATCGCTGTCCGTTGCGTGATCGTCTGCATCTTTGCGTTCTAGCATGGTGCACAAGGTAGGTAAGTGCGAGTATGGTGGGCCCGAGTTAGCCATTAGAAGGTTTGTTGATAAGGGTAGTATGTCATGCGTGGATATCGAGAGAGTTGGGGGCACGACGGGAACACAGGCATCATGCTTAGGTTGCCGTTGGTTTGACAATGGACTAGCCTTGTGATCTGGAAAAATTGGAGGAAGAGTGGGATCAAGGTGTTGACCCCCGCCGCATGTATTTGAGATGGGAATGGGTGCGGGTTCATTCCCGTCGCCGCTAAAAAATGGTTGTTGGAAGAAGTTGCTTGAGAGGTTGCAGGAACATGAAAAAGAGCGGGTGGTAACATAGTCCTACTGGTCGACATCCTTCCACTATCTATGCACTTCCAGTGATTGTTGTGCAGTGTAGGATGATAATTAGGCGTAGCCAAAAGACAGTTGTTATTGCTCTTATTAAACATGGAAGGTTATTCGCGATGGTGGTTGTAGGAGATTGGTCGATAAGGAATTTTGGGTGCGACCGAGTATTTAGTATCCATGCGTATGTAAAGACACAGGTCCCTGGATTGGAGAAGTCGTCTTTAGGCGACAGTGGATCATGAATTACATCAGGTTGTCTATCCTTGGATGTGTCCTGTTGGTTTGGACCGTGTTGTGATATATTCAACGAGTTGTCATTACTCCGCTGTTCCAACCACTTAGACTTTCCTTTAATCCTTGTGCATGAGGAGTTCGATATAATGGGTGTATTGTTGTCAGGAACAGGGGAACCCGCTTTATCTGTTTCTTGTGTAGAGGGTGTTTCAGTGGAGCAAGGAAGGACGGCTTTGAAGCTAGTTGACAACGTTGCTAGATTATCGGTGTCTAAAACAATATATGTACTATCCACCTTGGATGCTTTCATCTTTTTTACGTTTGGCTGATATTTCTCGGAGAGCCTAGATATGCTGTCCGGTGTTCCCAACACAGTTGCAAATTCGGACCTTTGTAGGGGTGTCCTATCTGGTTTACTCAAATTGCCGTTAAATTGGGTGCACAGGCCTAGAAATGGCCCACAATGGAGGAATAGCTGCGCCACTTCCTGGCTCAAAAATTTGAAAATGATTGCACAACAATGTTTCGGTGTCTTCTTTTTTAAACGTTGGCATTTGCAGTCCACGTTAGACATATTACGAGCTTTCAGTATCGTTAGTTTTAGTTTATCCAGACTCAGTCTCTCCGGAACATTAAAAGACAAACACATTTTTGCTCTACATATTCGTTCCGTGCACTTCAGAGGCAACAGAGGCAATGAACTGCCTTGCTTTTCCCATTAGAACAGGATCAGTCTTCTCCAATGGGTTATTGATGTAGCCAAGCGTAATCAGGTGACCTTTGAGGGGTTCAAAAAGTGCCAGCGTTCTTCTCATCTCATTAAGTTGTGATTCTAAAGACAGCAATTCATCACTTAGTTCTGCGATGAGTATAGTTTTAGCCGAAGAACTGGTTCCCTTTGCTTTTGGGGCCTCGAATTCTATTCGCTTCGCCGGTGGCGTAGAAAGTACACTACGCTTAGGTTGATGAATACGGCGAGCCTTCAGTGGGGCCATTGCGATCTAAGTTTGTCGAGATTTGGACTCAATCACCAAGGTGATATATTGATGTAACAAAAACCAACCTTGTGTGATTTCTCGCCTTTGGCGTTTGATAGGTGGGTTACATTCCACGGGTAGGTTTGTCGACAATAGCCACAATTCAACGAAAGTGTCCAGACGTGCAAAAAATCCAAGATGGCGGACACAGACGGTAGTTAGGCTAAACAGTGAGAACTCCGAAATTAGCCAGAGAACGTCCGCCAAATCTACACCGATTGAAGAATACACCAAAAGAAAAATATTGGTGTAAAATTCACAACAGGAAAATCACGTATAACAGAGTAATCCGGAAGGAAAACTGCAATCCAGCGCGGTAGGATATATGAGCAATAAGAAAGCAGTAGTTACTATTTAGGAGTCAACTTTTTAAAAACACCTGCTAATCATCGAAATCCACAAACATTAAAAAACCCGTACAGAGTTCCACTGTCGTAATCATTTTCCTTTAGGTAAAAGTCAAGTATGGTGGTCTGTTGCTTGGTAGTTGAAATGCAATATGTATTTAGTTTTCCCTCATGCTCAAGATAAGTTAAAGCACGTCAGTGCGTCCGCTATTCATTGCAGAGGAGAGCAAAACAGCAACAGCACCCTGTGCGTCTGTGAATGTTTACGTTTTCAGAACTTCTATAGAATCCTCTTCCTGCTCATCGTCTGATTCACTATTCACATCCTCAGCTGCTAAAATTGATGTGGCAGGCAGGTCACTGTTTATTTGTAAGTAGTAGGGGAATTTATAAGGTTTTGTATAGCTTCGCCGCAGTTAGACACAGACAGACAGCCACCACACATCCAGGAAAGCGCTAGACAGCGGTTTCGTCCTATTTGGACTCGTCAGTAGCGCGCACCCACCGAATCCTGCTGGATTCGAACCCACGACCTTACTCATGCCAGTCAGCGACGTGTGCCACTGAGCCATGGGCGACGGCAGCGGACCGCCATGACTGATATCTAACTGCTCTATTGCGCGGCTCATCCTCCACTGCCTTGCATGTGCAGAGGACAGGGCTGGCTCCCAGAGCAACGACTTCCTTTGCGAGCCGCCACCAATCGAGGTGGCAAGTATGCTGCTATGGCGACTACTGATTATTTGTAAGTAGTAGGGGATTTATAAGGTTTTTGTATAACTTCGTCGCAGTTAGACACAGACAGACGGCCACACCACCACGCCACCTCGATTGGTGGCGGCTCGCAAAGGAAGTGGTTGCTCTGGGGGCCAGCCCTGGCCTCTGCACATGTAAGACAGTGGAGGATGAGCCGCGCAATAGAGCAGTTAGATATCAGTGATGGCGGTCCGCTGCCGTCGCCCATGGCTCAGTGGCACACGTCGCTGACTCGCATGAGTAAGGTCGTGGGTTCGAATCCAGCAGGATTCGGTGGGTGCGCGCTACTGACGAGTCCAAATAGGACGAAACCGCTGTCTAGCGCTTTCCTGGATGTGTGGTGGCTGTCTGTCTGTGTCTAAGTGCGACGAATCTATACAAAAAGGTCACTGTTTATTTCTCTTGTGCTACAGGTTTGGAGACAAGAATCAACTATATGGCTGTCAGCCAGTTGGCATCCAAACAAGTACTTTGAAGGAGTGTCCAAAGTAGTGGAGGTTGAAGGAGGTACAATTTGCTCATACGTCTCAGGTCCAGTTTGCATTTCTCTCTCAGATGATATTTCTGCATGACAACGAAACCCCGCTTTACAAAAACAGAGATGTTAAATTCTGCAACACCTTCCACGCGGCAGCCATCCAAAACACGACGTCCAAGAAATTTGCTCGTTTCATGAGTACAGTTCCGGATATATCTTTGTGGCATTTCATGATCGTCATAAGATGCAGAAGCTGCTTTTCCTAAACCTTCTTTTAAACGTCTGAATGACACCCTGACGGATGAGTTGACCTAATGCAGTTGTGGTGGGTGGCAGAAACTGCAATTTGACATTAAGTAGCTGGAATTTGGGATAGAAATTGGCATTGTCAACAAACAGTCTAAATTGAAAACCCCATTGATTGATCGAAAGTCTGTGTAAATGAAAATATGTTTTCTGTAATTCCTCATCAGGCTTTTACAAATACATGAGAATCAAAAGAGTGAGGGAACACCATCCGGCCTGGCTCGGAAATGGAGGCCAAAAGGCTGCCAACTCTGCCATCGCCGCTCATCTTGCGGATACGGGTCACGCCACCAAGTCGGCTGATCCGTTCAAAGTAATCTATCAGGCCCCAGAAAATTGATCAAAGTATTTGCGTAAGCGGATATTGGACGCCGCAGAAGCCATCGCCATCCGGTTGTACAAACCAGCGCTGTGCACGCAGAAAGTTTCACTCACGCGTTGAATCTACCTTGGCCAGGAAGGACTGCAATTGACCTGTGCGAGCGTACGACTATAACTGGAGCCTAACCGACGGTTTATCATAGCGCACTAGAATCAATTTGGCTGACTGAGGACCCTTGGGTCTGTATGCAAATTTGGATTCTAATGCAATTGTAAAAACCCTATGAGGAATTACCGAAAACATATGTCCGCTTACACAAAGTTTTGATCAAACAGTATGAAATTGCGTTTATTTTCCGCATTTTTCTGTTAAAACTTTGATGACAAGCTGCGAAAATAGCTAGAGTCATCCGCGCATTTTTGTTATTCTTATAAACTTCCGGCAGTTCTTTCATCTTGGTGTTTCTAAAAATTCGAGGGTTGGCTGATTTCCGAATCATAAGGCCGGTTCTCGCTCACCCATGTTAGTGCAGAACTTTGATATGCTCATGCTTCTTTTCCCACCTGTGAAATTCTCTCCGTTAAGAAAATTATTTCCGACGTCGCTTTCATTAACAAACCAATTTCATCTAAATTAAAAATATATTGTGCTGTGTAGCCGGAAGATATTTCGGGTAATTTTTCTGTCTACTCGGATGCAGCACCCGTATCTGAGTTACCACATTCGCCCGATTGCTTACCAAACACAAGGTTGTGTCTACTGATGAAAGCTTGCAGCCAACCATTTGACGCTTAAAGTCTGAGTTTTACATTGTTGCGAAGTGCAATGCTCGTTCTTGAAACATGGGTCCACATACTGGGATTTTTCTCTCCGGTGTTGACTTGCACTATTTCCAGCAAAATGCGTTTATGTCTTCATTACCCGTTTTCCTGCTGTCCACACTTTTCAGTCTTGGTGCGTCGTGCACAAAGTCATTCAAAAACAATGCTTACCTTTTTAAAGTTAGAAGGATTTGTTTCTTTCCTACTCCGAAATTTTCCGCCAATGTTTGTGAACTTTTTCCTTCTGGACTTTGTCGAATGGCTGATATTCTTTCATCAAGTTTTAATGCCTTTGGCTTTGCTGATGTGGAACTAACCATTTTGTCTCTCGTAAGAAGCTACTAAAAGAACTATAAAAACGAACATGAATATTCAGCAATGATGTACATCAACAGTACCGTCTCAGTGCTGCCAACTGACTGGTTACATAATAAACAAACACACAGAAAGGGATATTCACAGTACTTGATACTGAGTAACAGTATCACAAAACCCAGAGTGCGCGAGGGAGTCCCACGGCTCTTTGTTGGCTACGGTGGTTCTCTCCGACAAGTTTTTGCACAGCTTATGTCGGGATACGTGACTTAGTTACATATGCTGATATCCAGGGGGAAAATTTGTGGCGCAGCGCAAGCCACCCATGGTCCCTCTGTATGCGCTATCGTCCTGTGGCTGGCCACAGTGACAGCCATATCCGAAACCGGATGCTGCCAACCAACTGGCCAGCTACACGAGGACGCCAAGTGGCACTTTGGCGCCCACTGTGTCTAAAAGCAGTGCTACCAGAAACAACTGATGCTCCGCATGCATTGCAGCAGATGCTCGCCGTTGTCAGTCCGTTTGGAGTTAAGCCCATAATTAGCAACCAGCTGAGCTTTTGGAAAGCTCAGACGCCCTACTTGTGCATTCATATCTTCTGCAAGTACTACGATATCTGAACTAGTAGCACTGCGTAGTCATTCTCATATACGGTTATCGATTCAGGTCAAGATCAAGGTCAATGGACAACACAGACTTCTTGTACTGGTAAGCGAACCATTAGCTACTAAGGAAGCACCTTGGTCCTCAATGGAGCCTGCACACCGTCTTGGGTCAAGATGTTTGACGGACGCAGCTTCGACCTATTGTAAAATATATTGACGCGTTGGCAACACTGAACACTCCCACACAGTACATGCATTGATCGTCAGTTGTCAGAATGCGTGTGACTGCTAGTGTGGTCCTTCATCTCATCTCACTTATTGCACATTCGGGTTGGTAGACACATGCATTTGCGAAACGTGTTCACCTACCTACATCGGTACATTCTGCGCCGTCCTATCATGCCCACCTTGCCGACCTTGCAATCGCATGTAACTTGGAATAGAATGCACGCGATTGGCAAAATGTAGCAGATGCACCTGTCGTCGTTTCGGATGATGTCGGTTCCACTACGGTGTAAACGTGTGTCACCGGATTTCAAAAGCCCCTGAGTAGTTGTTCAGCGTCATCTCATCTGAACCATAGTTACATAGTTATTTCTAACATTAGTATCTACCAACTTGTGCAATTATGTAAGGTGGGTTCCAATTTACGGAGGCAT